CTACCAAAACGCCAGGAAGCAACACCAACCAACGACCTTTAGACCTGAATCAGGATATCATTAGTTCTTTTATATATATTTCGAATCTTTAGGAGAGACGCTCTTGGAGGTTATAATCCTAGGCTTCATAGATCATCATCATCATAAGGTCATCAGTCTTTAGACTGGTTGGACACGTACCTCCACTCTTTAGAAGAAGATAAGAGGGCAAATATTAATACAATTTGGATCTACCCCTATCCTCATAGACTCCTATTTGTGTTTGTAATGAACTTCCAATTAGCCCTATATGTTGCAACAGGGGTCTTACAGTCCCTTATGCCCTTTTCTTTGTTGGGGCATCTCTGCTGTAATACATTTTCCAAACCTTCCTCATTTCTAACCTTATTTACTCAAGGTATTTTTATCATCCCCCTATAACACCAAAATTTTCAATTCTGTATCATCTGATATAATGAATGAACACGTTTTATTAAACGTAATTGCGTAAAAAGCGTGTCATTTACTCTCAGTTACAATAATTACAGCTAGATTCCAACCTGACTCCAAAAATTATCGATTTCATAAATATCGGTTTTCGCTATCGGCTTTTTCATTTGGTTTTTCCACTGCGGTGTTGGAAATGGGCGAGATGATTAAAACATATTTCGGTAATAAATTGGTAGAGGTCACCAGAGTGATTAGAACTTTCTGTCGGACAAAAACCGTATCGAACTGAAGGGATTGGAGTCAACGGTTGCTGCGGTTAGGGGCGAAAGAGAACTCTGAGGGGGCGGGGGTGCTATAGAGAGAGCATCTAATTAATGAATTTTGGGGATGGCCTCGATTTAACACACGGATACGTGACTCTCTCTGACTTATGGCTTAATTACTTTTGCTGCCACCGCGCAGACTTCGAGAACATTGTGCGAATGGGAAATGAAAAATTATTCTCGCTTTAGTTTCATTTATTACTTATAAATGTAATATCACAGGAAGGGTTGCAGAAATTTTAATTGTAATAGAGACATGTCTATGCCATTCGATTGCGGATCTTAAAAATTGAATCCAGCTTCCTGAAATCTCTTCCACGAACCACAGTGTGATCATTACTGCTAATTTTTAAAGATTTAGAAGACGTTGGTTTTTTTGTTTTTAACCAAGGTACTGGCCCATCTGTCCAAATGCGTAATTTCTGTGTTGTAAGTTTGTTTGGATACCAAAAGATCCATCTTCAGTTCAATTTTTTAATTTAACTCATCTTCAAGTTCTTGCAGCAGATTTGTCTAATCTTATCTACAAGTAAATAGGTAATTTATAGAACAACATCTACACATGTAGGTACATATATAAAACAGGATCGATGGCAATCAGAAGTTTTATCATGTTGGCGCTAGTGTGTTGATTGGATCCTTAAGGACGTCTCGCGTCTAAATAGCTATAATCTGTTCGCCGTTTCCCGAAAAGATTTTCGCCGACAAAAACCACGCAGCTCTAACAAAAGTTGCATCGTCTACTTTGCCGGGTTTATAGCTGCCAGCGCGTCGATACGGTTTTTCGTCTTTACCGGAACACTTTTTGTTCATCTAACTTCCCTTAAGCTTCTAAACTACCCGCCGATGTCTTCCTTTTGAAATTATCGAAAAACAATTTGCAGCCAAACCGACGCTACTTACTTACTTCTGCTTAAGAAATAACATATAATACACACGAATAGAACCACATTTACAAACTATTCTAGAGATTAAGAAAGTAGGAAATTGTGTTAGTACTATAAGGAGAAATGTAACAGAAAGATTTAGATGAAAGATTAAAAATGCCGTTAGAATTTAGACAACCAATTATACACCCGAATGTAGACGTTAAAACCCGTACACTGCTATTCCAATTGTTTATTTCCAAATTGCTAATTTTACCATTTTCCTGCAACCAAGAGTGATGGGCAAATTTTCATACACTAAAGCATTATTATTATATTCAAAACCACGCAGATCTGTCTGTTTTTCGTGAAAATAAATTACGTAGAAATGCCTACTTGTTTTAGAATTGTGTCCATGTCGCCTTAAAATCCATGATGAAAAGATTGCGTGTTTGTATTGTTTAAAAGTGGGTACCTATATCTAATGTATACTCTTTTACCTTTCAGTACGAATTTTGAAATTCGCGACTTGTTAATTAGAGCGTTACAGTTTTCCCTGTTAGCAGGTAGTCAGTGGAAATTTCGTGAAAGATGGGGAAACTTATTTGACGAAACATTATGACAAAAGGCTTGAGACAAGCTTTTGCTTTCGGTTCAAAAACGTCAAAGAAATATATTCAGTAATAAAACTTTATTATGTGGAGGTGCGAATTATTTATGACTTTTTTCCGACTTAAATGGAAAACGTGGCTCGAAACTCGCGTTCAACTTTGCGTGATTTGGATTCTTATTTATAAAAATGAAATCATTAAATGCGAAACCGCCACGGCCTAACGTACAGAGTGGTCGACTACCAAACAAGTAGTCTGGGTTCGAATCCCATTGTTGGCTGACTAAAAAAAGATTGTTCTAAATGTATTTCGATATCTGCGTAAAAAGATATTAGCCATTGTTACAACACTAATAATTAATATTGATGACAACCTCCTCCGAAGGGTTTACTATAACTACTACTTTATTCTAACCACCATGGTTGCCATTTCGCGTCAGGTGTAATAACTTGTTAGACAACAAAGAGGAGCACTTTAGGAGAATTCAAACAATCACAGTAGTCAATGCCTGTATTGCTGTGCAAGTTTTGTTCCAGAATAAATAAACAATTCTAATAAACGTGAAAATTTCTACAAAATGTCATTATTTTCTATTTCGATGTAGCTGTAGCGAATGGGAGATTTAGAGACTAAACATTCGTTTAATCTTTGTGTTTTGTTTCGGCTACTTTGGTACATACTCATTGTAAAAGGACTTCAAAAATCCTTTTGTCTCGTAGTTGATTATCCACATGAAACAGGTATCAAGTTCTTCTGTATGGCATTGTCATTTTTGATCAAATTCAATAACAAATTTACTTGTTTCAAATTTGTAAGTGCTTTCTCTGCACCCTTGGTTTTCAAATTAACCAGTCTGTTAAATTCTATTAAAAGATACGTGAATTATTTGTTTGTATTATGTTTTTGAAGTGCAGGGGTTGAATGTTCGCTCTTTTTTCGTTGCAGTTCTGTCTATGCGCCATTTTTAATCAAAATTATTTATCTGTAACGTCGATCCGTTCGTATTTTGTTTCAAACGAACCATTCCATTGACCTGCAAATACACACGTACGAATATGCGAGGAACGTCCATGTTGATTACAGCCATTTCGTCAGTAATGCCATCGGTCTTTCCACTGCTCACGATTTCGAGTATTATCCTCAACTATTTTCGATGAGCATTTGTTGAATTCGGATGGAGAAACATAATGTGTTACGTACCTACATACAGAAACCCGGTCGGTCTAAAAAACAAGCAGCTTTCGGAGAGGTTTTAGCCGTAATAGGGAGGAAGTTTCTCAAGAGCTCTCGAAAAACAAAAATATTTGAAATTGGCATTTGCAATTTTTCAGGACGCATTATTTTTCTTTACTCTCGAAGAATGAAATGAAACACACGAAAACAAAATAAAGACCTTTGGAATTGAATGTTATTAAATATAAAAAAAAATTCGTTCACATGGAAAAAGGAATGAAACAATCTTTAAGGGAAAATGGGTAAATAAATACGGATGTAAAATCAAGTTTCTACAAAAATTATCCCATGAGGGAGAATCCATGAGTTGTTCATATTTTAATAAATCCTTACCCTATGTTTGGAGCACGGCGCTGTACGGGTGCGAAACATGGACAGTGGGCGCGGTGGAAATTAAAAGTTTAGAAGCGTTCGAAATGTGGTGTTATAGGCGAATGATGAGGATATCGTGGGTAGAAAAGGTTAGAAATGAAGAGGTATTAGAAAGAATAGGAGAACAGAGGACTTTATGGAAGTCAATAGGAAATAGACGAGATAGGTTGGTAGGACACCTTTTCAGGCTTGAAGGTCTAGTCAGAGATGTACTAGAGGCAGAAATAGAAGTTAGGAGAAGTAGAGGTAGGCTTAGATTAGATTACTGTTCGCAAATAGTTAAGAATATGAGTTGTTCTAGTTTTAGGCAAATGCGAAGATTAGCTCAGGATAGGAAAGAGTGGAGGTGCTTGTCCAACCACTCATAGGACTGACGACCTTATGATGATGACCCTTGGTTTAGTTGCTTACACTGGGTTTTTAGATTCCGTTATTACTCAAGCCCTGGTTCGACACACACCTCCACCCTTCCTGTCCTGAGCTAATCTCCTGCTTCTAGTATGTCCCTGACTAACTCCTCATGTATAAGAAGGTGTCTTGCCAACCTATATCGTCGATTTCTCACTGACTTCCATAGCGCCTTCTGTTCCAATACTCTTTCTAATATCTCCTCATTTCTAATCTTCTCTGTCCACGGTATCCTCATCATTTACCTTTAACAATCCTTTTTCGAATTTCTAAATTAACCGTTCGCGATTATGGAATTTCTTCTTCTTTTTCTTAAAGGCAACTCAATCCTGCGCTATCCTTTGTTTTACATTCGTACTGTTTCGTCCATCCTGGATTATGTGACTTCCTAGATATCGAAGTTCGTATCCGATCTTTGTGTTAATGGTTTTTAAGAGTTGTTCAGTTTTGTGTCTTTATCTGTTTGATGGTGCAAATCATGTAACAGTTGTTGTAAATGGAGTTTGCCTAATAGAAAGTAATTAGAAGCATTGATTATGCTGGTGTTTGAAATAAGTTCTCCTGCGGACTTTATAAAGGTAAAAACAAAATCAGTTTGTAGAGGCAGACGCAAACGAGCAATAAGAAGTAATAAATCATCAAAGGCCGTGGATGTTATGTAGAGAGTCGCGCGCGGATCGTGGACTATCGGCAGGATTCGCTGGTCCTGAGAACGCATGAAGCTTTCGAGATTTTCCGGCAGTCCGGCTGGTGTTGAATTCTGGGGCGCTACTATCGTGTGGAGTGTTTACCTTTCACTTCGAACGCGTTCGGTCCTGTTGAGGTCGCGAGTTCATCTATCGGTCATCTCTCATTAAAAGCAATTACATCCACTACTATCACAAAGCAAAACAATTTTTCAATTCTTTTGGCGTTGTGTCACATAACTATTTAAAGTTTTTTCACGTCTCTCAATTGATACATCACATATCGCAATATATATATATATATGTATATGTAACGTGGTATAATCTACGTACTGATAGCATTCGCCGATGTTGTTTGTGTTTTAACGTTGACTATGTTCGGGTTGTTGCGGATTTGAATTGTTAATTGTTCAAAGGCGCCGTCGTTGCGAGGGGTGATATTGGGCGATGTCTTAATGTGAGCCGCGAGGTAAATGTTTGACAATGAACAAGAGCAAAGGGAATCGGTCTTTGTACACTTTGGTGTTTATTGTGGTTTGTTCTGTTGGATTAGTTAACATCGAGGCGACAAACTTGCAAGCTAGGAAAAGTGAGTTAATAACACGCTTTTTTGAATTTAAACTTAGGTATAAGTAATTATTAGTAGAAGTTTGAAGAAAACTTCCTTGTGACATTATTTCACCATACAATAGCTTCATCGTCAGGTGAAGATAATACAATCTCAGTCCATCAAAGAAATATGTAATCCCAAAACCAATATATCACTTAAACTGAGATGGAGTCATATGCAGAACATGAGGTGGAAGTAATGAAAGTGATTTTGAAGGACCGCGCTAGATCCTTACCGAAAATGGACCTCCGTTAAACTTTTTGAAACTTTGGGTTGTTGTACTTTTCGACGTGTCCTTTTGAGATATGATCCCTTAAAGTAGAATTATTCCGTAAGGACTACCAGGATCCAAGTTACCAAGAGTTTGACAGAGGACCATTTTCCGTGAGGATCTAGCGAGGTCCTTTAAAACTAATGTCGAAATCTTGAATTTAAACTTAGATGTTAGTAAAAGTTTCAAGAAAATTTTCTTGTGACTCACCAAAACATTATTTCACCATACAATAGCTTCATCGTCAGGTGAAGATAAGACAATCTCAGTCCATCAAAGAAATATGTAATCCCAAAACCAATATATCACTTAAACTGAGATGGAGTCATATGCAGAACATGAGGTGGAAGTAATGAAAGTGATTTTGAAGGACCGCGCTAGATCCTTACCGAAAATGGACCTCTGTTAAACTTTTTGAAACTTTGGGTTGTAGTACTTTTCGACGTGTCCTTTTAAGATATGATCCCTTAAAGTAGAATTATTCCGTAAGGACTACCAGGATCCAAGTTACCAAGAGTTTGACAGAGGACCATTTTCCGTGAGGATCTAGCGAGGTCCTTTAAAACTAATGTCGAAATCTTGAATTTAAACTTAGATGTTAGTAAAAGTTTCAAGAAAATTTTCTTGTGACTCACCAAAACATTATTTCACCATACAATAGCTTCATCGTCAGGTGAAGATAACACAATCTCAGTCCATCAAAGAAATATGTAATCCCAAAACCAATATATCACTTAAACTGAGATGGAGTCATATGCAGAACATGAGGTGGGAACAATGAAAATGATTTTGAAGGATCGCGGTAGATCCTACGGAAAATGGACCTCTGTTAAACTTTTGAAAACTTTGGGTTGTAGTATTTTTGGACTTGTAGATTAAAAATCTCAGTAGACACTAATTCGTAAAAGCTTATCTCTTTGAGATATGATCTCTTACAGTTGCATTCTTCTGTAAGGACTATCAGAATCCAAAGTTACCAAGAGTTTGAAAGAGGACCATTTTCAGTAAGGATCTAGCGGGATCTTTTAAAACGAATATCCAAATCTGAATTTGTGTAAAGGCTATTTCAAAACTTTGTGTACTGTTCGTTTCAAGAAGTTAGAGATATGCCCCTTCCCTTTATTAGGATGCGCCGTAGTATAATTCCAAATTCAATCATATTTGCGGAGCTCATTTCTCCACCGATCATCGAGTGAGAACTAGCCAAAAGTGTACAGTACCATTTGCAAAATTGTTTAAACTGCCTCGTTAAAATTTAAGAATATGCTTTATTTAAAAGCATAATTAGCCAAAAATAATAACAAGTGAATTAACTTAACGTTCTACACACCTATAAAACTTTTGCTTTGTTTTCTATTGTTAATTTATATACATTTTTGTTTTAAGAAATTGCTAAACATTTTCGTCTAGTACTGTACAGTTCTAGCCGATCTCCTAAGACCGCCCATCGAGAGCTCTGCTCGTT